AAACCTGATAGTGTGCTACTAAGGCAACTGTGTCTTTTCTCAGCTAGCCAGGATTGTTTCTGTACAGGTAATCCATTTTTTTCCTGGTTTCCCTGGCTGGGTGGTCAGGCTGGTAAGGAGGTTGGCAACAGCTGCTGTTTGCAGCTCTGCAGCCATGGATGTTTGAGAAATTCCAAGGAGGAATTTGAGCCTGAGGGAAAGCTTGTTTCTTTTGCTCCTAAACTTGTTGTCTAGAGAACTGATTGATAACAGATGCACCTATCTGCCTTTCTGTTTTTCTTGAAGCATGTTGGTTTCAGCAACAGGATTTTCCCTGTGATCTCCTCAGGATATTTCTCCCTCTACTGTGTATGCTCCCAGTCAGGTCAGCACTCTGTGTGGAATAAAGAGGCTCTGAAAGTGTATTATCCTTTGTTTGACCTGTTTTTCCCCTTAATATGCATCAGTCCTTCAGCAGTTAGGGAGGCTGTGTTTTTCCAGCACCCTCTGTCAAAGAAGAGATTGTTAGATTTGCTTGGTAACAGGAAAGAGAAGGAATTTGGAAACTCCCGAGACTTCTTTCCCCGCAGGAAGGTCTGTGTCCTCCCAGGCAGCTTGCTCTGGGTAAAGACATTGCTGCAGGGATGCAAAATTGCTGGGGATTGCATGAGTCTTATGAAAGGGGGAACTGATATAGAGGATCTTAATTCATGAGCACTGGAACAGTGTAGTCAATATAAAGCTTAGTACAAGCAGTAGTGGTTATGACCACCAGAATGTCCCCAGCAGTGACAAAGGCCCACCAGGTACACACTGTTGCAGGTTCCAAACCATGTATCTTGGGAAGATCCAAGGGCATATCTTCATGCAGTGAAGATAAGAAAAGCATAGGAACCTAAGAAAATTATGTGGAAGAATCAGAAAGGATCCAGGAGGATAAAAAGGCCATTTTTCTATACATAAAATATATGTTCCGAGGAAATCAGAAGTCTTCCCTTGTCTGGAAACCAAAGAAAAGCAAGCCACCATTAAAAGCCTGTTCCTTTGTTATGCTACGCTGCATAGGAAAAGTATGTTCCTTTGAAGAGAAAGAAGTCAAGTTCAAGTATTGCCACAAAAGAAAAAGCAGACTTTTTACAGTAAAATGCAGTAGGATATCCTTGAGCTTCTGTCCCCTTTCCTTACTGTACTCATTTTAACTATTTGGGAATGGGTCTCTAATCCCACACCATTTCAAATAATCTCTCCACACTGGTGCCTGCCCTGCCTTAACACTCTGCTCTCTGCTGGCTCTTCAGAGGTAGGGGTTTTGTTCCATTTCAAGTGTGTGGACTCTTGGGGAATTACATTATTCAGGCAACACGAAAGCTTAGTTTTCATTTCAGTTTGGTGGTGGAAATGTGGATAAATATGACACAAGTTAGCACTTTAATTGTGGTACAGTATGCACATTTTCATTATAGATTCAAGAGAATAAATAAAAAGCAACTCAGTGCTGTGCCATCACTATGAAGGTAAACCAGCAAATCATTCTCTCTGCAATCTTCTCTCATATGTTTTCATTATGATATAGTAATTAAAAGCAAATAGATTTATGATCAATAGTCTGTAGGTCATGGAAAAATAAATGGTAGTCCCTTCCAAGACCTGCTGTAGCAGAGAAATAAGAGGTACAAAATATTCCTAAACCTAAACAAGGTCTTTGGCTTCTAGAATTACATCCAGCTTTAATAGAAGCTGCAGCTATTAATGGGCTCTCACATAATACAACAGAATGACTTGAGCAGGATTGTTTATTCCCAATCCTACCAACAGCTCTGAGTGAGCCCAGTTTAGTCAGGTGTTAAATATGATTAACTGCAGTGGCTTTGGGTGGCTTAACATTTTATTTCCAACACCTAGATTCTTACAGTGCTGCAATACATGAGGCAATCTGAAGATAATACAGCTATTGATTTTTTTAAAAGGACACGAATGCATAAAAATACCACTATAAGAAAAGCGAGAGTATGTATGATTATTGTCAGTATGTAAGATGACGTAATAAATGTAACACAAAAGTAGCATTCCTGGTACAAGACTAAAGCGGCTAATTTTGCCGTGTAATTACAACTGATCATATGAAGACTATACAAAGGTTGAAACCATTCTGAAAACCTGCCCCCACACAGCTTAGGTGTTACATTGTATCAAAAATCAATAGACACAACAAATTCCTTATTCTCTGATTTCACCCTAGTTTTCTGGAAGTCACAACTGGCTCCCCTACAACACCTTAAGCCTGTAAATCGAATAACAGACTACCTTCCTGTCAAACCCTACCTCCAATGGGGCTCCTTTCATGGAATGGTAAAACTTGTGCATAGATTTGGTGCTCTGACATTAGGTTTGTTTAGCCTTCTGGGGCGTGTTGCTCCTTGTACTGGTTTAACGCAGTCTGTGAGACTTTATGCAAACAGCTACCAGGTATTTATGTGTATGAGGGACACACCCTGGACCAGCTGCTGTGCGTTCCCGCATTTTCTGCATAAATGTCACTGCAGTAGCAGATAGGCATCTCACTGGGATAATGCGAAGGCTCAGGGTCTGTGGTCCCTGGTACAGAACAGCCACACGTTGATCTACTTGAACTCTGGGCAGTGAGAAACACACGTCAAATGTGCCAGGAGTTGAGATCATCTGTTTTGAAATAAAGGGATATACCACTCCCTTATTTTCTATCAACAAATGTGATGGTACAGAGTGGCCTCTACAAATCACGAGAGTGCAGTGATGATGGGAGCTGCTGTAGCCTACTCAGAGTACCAAATGGTCCAGTTGTTTTGAGCTGCTGAGCAATTTGGAGTCGCATTCTGTCAAACCTTCTCTGACACAGTGTGCGTGCCAAGGTTTATTTTTGTCTTTGCTTTTAATTTGAAGTGCAATTTTTTTGCTTCAGGGGTAGTTCATCTTCAGGGTCCTTATTATGGGTTTCTGATTCCCGAGCTGGGAAGACATGTACATTTTCCATCAAACTCTCTCTGACAGACTTCATGCAAACGGATACCAGGGAAAAACAGGGAAGGATAGTGGTAATCTCATTAACTCCAGCAGGATTAAGTGACTATTATGCCTGTCACTGTCCAGACCCAGGATTTACCTCTACTCTGGGATACCTTACACAATGCACCATCATTATCAGAATGTCAGCTCCTGATACCTCTTTTTGGTACCTGTCAAAATGTTTTTATTCCAGTAAACTGAATCTTGGCTAGAAAAAATAGATAGATTCATGTCTTAAGACATCAGAAAGATCATACATTATCTAAATTGGTTTAATTCTGTATCTAAATAATTCAAATAAAGAAAGGAAGCTTCTTTCCTGCATATGCTGGGCTTGCTATTTTTTGTATTAGCAGGCTCTTTCTTTTTTGTATTAATTACAGTGGAGTTTTCAGAATGACTTAAGCTTCAAATCTTCTGACTAAGAAAGATATCAGAGTTTGCTATTTTCATGCAGAAATTGCCCCACAGGATAAAATGATTGGATTTGGATTTGTTGTAAGACTACAAAGAAGGAACCTCCTACCAGGATGAGTGTGCTGCAAAATATTTGCATTCCTAAGATATGTAGAGTGCCTAGGTGGAGCTTTTACTAAGTATTAAGTTTGGAGTCACTAACTCTTGTTCAGTAATGCTGCCTTTGGGAAGACTGTCACTCGGTTCTTACTCTGTTAAGGATTTGGGTGTCTGATGGCCACAGTATGGAATTACTTGCCTACCATGTGGCCACAGGCATTGGCAAGTACTTGATTATACACTACTTGTCTGCAAGTATTGGTTCTCCAGGTCTGCTGTACATGTATATAGCTTTACAACTCACCCCACTCAGCAGAAAGTTAAGTTCTGAGGAATTCATGATTCAGGTGAACTGAAAGGGAAGGGCAGACCCTTACAATGATATAGAAACACACAGAAGGCATGGTGCTAAAATGCACCTGAAGTTCACACTTCAAGCAATAATTCACCAGTTACAAGGCTCGTAACACAAAATGCTGTTATAAGGCACACCCACAAAGTAAATGTACAGGTAGAAGAATGAGGTAAGCAGCCTTACCATGTTAATGCAATCTTATGATTAGAAAAATATAATAATTTTACATGCTATGTATTTATGCATATAGTAATGATTTCTGGGAGGTTTCTCAAGGCAGATTTTTTTAAATAAGGAGCCTAATTTAGAAATATATTGTGTAATAATTACAATGCTGGGACTGAAGGATTTTAATGTCAAAAGTTATCCACTTAATCTGCTGGTTTACTTGGTTTCATGTTGTATCCTTTCAAGTGCCACAAAAAAGCATTCAGGAGTCCTGGCTACAGCTGAAGCCATTAGCACCCCTCAGTGTGGCACACTCCATGCCACTTAGCACGAGAACAATATGGTAATTTACAGCCTGTGCCTCCCAGCTCTGCTGCAGTTCATTTCGCTCTGCTCAGTGGGTTTTTTGGTGTTTTCTCCATTAAGCTAATAAAGGCCTCCTAGAACCACTTAAAAAGTGCACTACTTTACATTACAGTATAATTAGATAAAATTAAATTAAAATGGGCTTGTGAGAATGATGAAGAAAAGATGTAGATAAAGATCTAATCTTCTTTTGTGCTTACATATTGGCTCAGGATGCAGCACAACTTCCTGCTGTAGATTATGATAGAATAGCTATTGTATTAGAGATAAATTTATATGGATATCACATCAGTTAAAACAAACCCTTTAGAATGCTATAAATATGTTTGTACAAGGGGGTTTCCAGGTTAGCAGGATTTTCAAATCCATATAGCAAGAACAGTACACAAGGCTGTATGCAATCAAGGTTTTAGCATGGTTCCGATCTGTTTACACAGGTTTAGCCATCAGCAGGGCAGCAGACTGCAGTTTCCATCCCAGCATTCCTGGAACAGATGAAGATGACAATGTCTCACTATTTGTCACCATCCAGCAGCAGGTTACTGTACCCATACCTATTTTGTAGGTGCCCTTTGGACACTTCACTGAAGTCACTCACCAGCCTCACTGGCACCGAGGGACCCGTTTGAGCACAGGCTGGCAGAACTGTAGGTGGAAGTGGCTTTTTGCAAAAGGTCATTGGTGAGCAGCTGGCTGGGGAGTAGTAACGACTTTGAATGAAGCAACTGTTTGCAAGCTTAATTCATGTTTATGGTCTAAATCTATTGTCATAAACCTGACAGCTAAAAATAGTTTTAAGTCAATATAAGAGAGACCACACCAAAAAATGTGAGCTAATTCAGTTAATATTGCTTGAATTAAGTCCATATAACTTCTGTACATAGGAAATATGGGATTTGGCCTTCTGAAAGCTCTGCAGTGGCCACAGCTCTGCTTCTTATATGAACGGTTTGATCTGGGAAATAAAATTTCGCAAATTCTGTGGTTTTCCTCCATCTTTTATCCTTATTTTCAATATTGTTTCTCATATAGACGTGCAGAATTTCTTCATTAGCTCCTTCCTCTGTGAAAGTACATTATGTGCCCTGCTGCCTGACCAATACAAGCTATAGTCTCTGCACTACTGCTACATCAGTAACTGAGCAGATTTAGTCCTTGATTTTCACTGTACCCAGAACTGGTATACCAGTTAGATAGCTTTCAGGCATTAAGATCTTCTTAAACCTCTTTTTGACACTAGATGGCTTTTCCTAACATTTCAGTGACCCGACTTAGTCTTAATGAAATCTGAATTATTGACAGACAAAAATAAGTTCATTTGTAATGTCACTCAGTTCAGTTCATATCTTTGTCTTCATTCCATCATAGTCAAATCAAGGTCAATTTGACGTCTGCCTTCCCCCAGAACTCCCTTGAATGTGTTCTGGAAGGGATAATGATGACATGTGGTATCAATATTTAAGTGATATAAAGGAAAAAGAGATTACACACAAAAGAAAGCATGCAATTTTATCAGACTTTAGAACAGGTATCATGTTACCTGCACTGTGCCCAACCCAGTTCAGTAGTTTTTTGTATCTGAATTTAAGTCCGATACAGTCTACGAATTTGGAAATGTTAAGAAATAATGCACTTAATGTGAGGCAGAAAATCAAATCATACATACACAACCATATTATTCTTATCTGTGGATGCTCAGGTAGTAGATCTTTCATATGCAGGAAGTCTGAAAGGCAGTGAAAATACTGCATTCAGTAGAGTTGTGTGGTATGGACCTATGAGTACTTTAAATTTATTTTATTTTTATTTTATTTTTATATGTCCCCTCTCCCCTTAGGCTCTGACAGCAAACTACAATTTTATAGGTTTGGGAGATGATGCCTAGCTGCTTGGAGCAGAAACACTGAACAAAGGCTCATGTTATGCCTGTCTGCCAGGCTTTACTAATTAATGTATTAATCCAAACAACTCAAAACTACTGTATTTTTTTCTGCTGTGCTGCCACTAAATGCCTTTGGAGATCTCTCTTGAATGTTGTAAATGATATGGAAGCTCCCAAGACTGATACTTTGCATATTAGTCAGACCTTTCATCCTCAAACCTTGTTCATGAGCTGCTGGGAATTGTCTCTGTGAGCCTCAGGAAACAGGGTTTAGGTGATATGCTGTTTGCCTACCTATCATATCAGACACCCTTTAATAACTTTTGAACCCGTAAGTTCATTTCAATTACATTTGATGCAGAAACTTCAGGTTATGAAGTTCCTCCAAGTTTCATGAAATGTAACAGCTCAGTAGAGGAAAGACTATTTCCTTCAGATTACTGTGACTGAAAGGCTGTTGCTGGAGCTCTAAGGTTATTTATGATGTTTAGTTTGGGGGCAGCCAGTATATACCTAACTCAAAAGCAACCATATCTCCTTGTTTCTCACCCACCTGGTAGCTGGGAGGCAGGAGGAGGGAGCTGTGAACACAGGGGCAAAGGAAGACTCATGATGGGCAGGGAGCTGGAGCTGTGGTCACTGGGAAAGGAGGAAGAATGGAAACCAGGGCTTAATTTCTGCCATCTCTTAAGAATACAACTTATTCTCTACCTGGGAATGACTTGAGTCAAAAGTGACACATCAAAATTAAGCAGACTGAAATGATTAGCACCCAAAGTGCATTCTTAGTCTAACCAGCACACCAGCACAACAGTCACCATTTAAACAAATTTTCTTTATATTTGTTTATCTTCTTTTCCATAAGCATCCAGTTCACTACATACAGTGTTCAGGACTTCACTCCTGAGAACAATATGGTAATCTGATTATAGTCTACTGCTATTGTTTCTGTTGCCATTGATATCATAATTATTTCTACTTCAAGCATGCTTGCTTCTAAACCAAGCATACTAAAGTTACAGCTCCTTGTTTTGTGATACAGACTCCATTGCAAGTGATAGACTCAATAGGTTATTTGAAGAAACTTTTGTTTATGCTAGCACCTATCATTTTACAATAATAAAGTAATAGCAATAAAATAATGGTTAATAATCAGAGTATCCAAAGTTACCAATTAGATTTCAGATAATCCATGAAGGATATCTAAATGTTATTACTCCTACTTTATGGACCCAAGAATTGAAACACTATGATGTAATTTTTCTGTTGGTAACAATAAGGTTTTCAACAGACTCGGGATAAACATGGCTCCATTAAGTTACTACTGAAGCTCCATTTGATTTAAAGAGTGTATGGATTTCACTAAAATATAAGTCTCCTTACTATAAAATAGCAAAGAAAAAATCCATGTTTTTTGCTTTCACACAATCCTCAAAAACTCATGCATCTGTGGAATCCAAATTCCTACAGTTTCTCAGAAGTCACAGAGTTACTGGAAGAGTCTGTTTTGCCTTAGGTTTACCCAATGGTGAGAAAACTTCAGTCAGAGGAAGATTTTGGTTTGGCTCTCATGATATCAAACTGTGGCTGTGCAGTACCAAATACAACAGTTTCAGACTGAGGAAGAGGAGAGATTAACGCTCAAGTTCATGTGACATCTTGTCACACACACTAAAGAGAGCGCAAACTCTGTAAAATGACATTACAGGATGCTGGTAAGCATTCTGCTGGAGGGTGGACCTGCATCCAAGGCGATAGGGTAACGTTGGCTTCAGCAATGATTGTTTTTTTTCTGACAGCTGGACATATAGAATGTGCAGGAACTTCGTACTTGCACTGCCTGCTCTTTGTCATATGGTGTAGCTCTTGCAGAAGCCACACACAAGCTTCATAGGTTGCCTATGCCTGCATTAGATGTTGGATGGAGCAGCACATTTTCTTTGGTTGGTGCACACAAAAGGAAGTTATCACTTTGTTAATCCTTTTCTAATCCATGCTGTCTTCTTGCTGACACTAGTAGATGGAGAAGAGAAAATGACCTGTGACTTCTACCCCGTCCTAACAAAAAGGATTTGGTAGTTTCCACATACAGAGTAGAAAATGAGAGGCATGGCAATTAGCCTAGTAAGTCGCATCCCATCTCATTCTTACCCTAGAGCTTTCCTGCAGGTGGTGGGTTGACCCTGGCCAACAGCTAAACACCCACCTAGATGCTCACTTACTGCCCCCAAAGTGGGATGTGGGAGAGACTCCAAAGGGCAAAAGCAAGAAAAAATGCATGGGTTGAGATAAAGACAGTTTCCTGAGTCAAGAAAAGAAAAAAAGAAAAAAGAAAAAAAAAGACAAATAAATGATGGAAAGCCACTCACTCGCCACCTGTCACCAGCAGACTGATACCCAACCAGTCTGCAAGCAACAGCAACTGCAAACCCCCCCCCCCATTTTATCACTGAGCATGATGTTACATAGCATGCAGTATCTCACTGGTCAGGTCGTGTCAGCCTACTTGCTGTGGGGGCAGGATGAGAAAGAGAGAAGGCCTTGATGCTGTACAAGCACTGCTCAGCCATAGCTAAAACACTGGTGTGTTATCAACGTTGTTTAGGTCACAAATCTAAAACACAACACCATACAGGTTGCTATGAAGAAAATTAACCTCATCCCAACCAGACACAATATACTATCAGAGGCTACAGGGAACCAAGGGCACTTTATCCTTCAAAAAAACATTAACATGGCAGTTGAAAGTACTTCAGCTTAGAATTAAAACTAATTGAATAGTTTTGATTGCCTTAATTTTGCTGTGTAAAATTGGAGTGAGGAAAAGACAGAAACTAGTGACAAGAAGTCTTACTCAGCATCAAGGGCACTCATGTTCTGTAGTAAGAGCAGCTAGTGATTTTCTCTGTGTGCATCATCCCCATATTTCTCTTCCATCAACCCTTGTTTCTCCGCCTTCTGTGAGGTCAAAGTCACAGTCACCTTTTCCATGGTATTTTACCCAGCCAGCAGCGCTGTAGGGGTTTGACAATAACATTTTTGATGTCTGTGGTAAGGGTGTAAAGTATTTTTTGCTTCAACAGTCAGTGCTTAGTTTTTTTTATATATGACATTAGCACTAGGTATTTCTCTCCGGATAATCTCTTTTTTTTTCCAAGTTGTACTGACAAGATCATAGCCTGAAGTACAAAAAGATTTTGGTCAGTTTTTTTTTTTGAGGCTGAAATTTGGCTGACTGCAAATTTTTTCTGGTCAATGGACACAGCTAGTAGAGCTAACCGATATTTTCAGTAATACTTTAATCCAAAAGTTTTCCTAAGGATGTAGAAATATTGTGCCTTACATTACATATAGAAAACCTGGTCCTCAAAGAAATAAAAACCATGTAGGACAATGGAACTCCTGTTCCTCCTCTTGTTAAACCATCTGGCTTTCCTTTAAAATTCAGAGTTGCTCAACTTCTTCAGCTTTGTGAGCCAACAGCCAATGCTGTCATTTCCTACTTGGCTGTAAGTACAGTTCTGGAATCTAGATAATGTAGGATTTTGCCACTGAGGCAAGGATGGAGTTAGGAAATAATAAAATTAGGGTGGAAATAAGAAAACCAGAACTTCAGCAAAATATTGAGGCTTTTAGCCTCAATATTTTCCTAGGTTTTCTTGAATCTAATTCTGCCATAGTTTCACAAAGCACAGAATCATTCACAGGCAGGAGGCATTCAGCTCTTGGATCACTCATTTTCTCTGTTAGCACATCCATCTCCTCAGATTCTAACAAACTCTGTTCTGGTGAATTCCTGATCTGGAAGTTTCCTCTGGTACACAACAGCCACAAATGACACAGCATTAATTAAATATGCCTTTTGGCTAATTTTTTTTTTTAATCATTTATCACCCCCCCCCCCCCCCAATAACTTATTTTCCCAGCTAACAAATCCAAAAGTATTTAGCCTCTTCTTGTAGGATCGTAAGAATGGCTGTAGTAGATGAGACCAGGGGCCCATCTAGAACATGATGAGAGAGTATACAAAAAGGGCAAGCAGACAGCAACTTTCTCTTCTGTGTGCCTTCCCAGCTTCCAGTAATGTGAGTCCTTCAGAAGTACTAAAACAGGGACAGTATTTTGTATTTAAAAGCTGCTAATGTATTTGTATCCCATCATTTTGCCATTTAATATTTTTGAGTTTTAGTTATTTGAATGTTACTAATCCTAATTATGGATTCTGAGATGAGGTGACTACAACTGAAAGCAATATGCAAGCAGTGCACCACAGTTGTATGTAGTACTGTGGTTTATGTTTCTTTCCTTATCCTTTTTCTAAAAAAGTTTACCTTTCTTGTACTATCAACCACCTCTGAGAACTGAACCTTTTTTCATACAACTGCTCACAGTGACTTCAAGAGTTTTAACAACTGACACTAGCTTTTAGAGGTCACAGTCGTATCTGTATGTTTTTCCTCCATGTGTATTACACTGCACTTTGGAACACTGCTTTCCAACTATCACTACTCACACAATGCTGTGGGAGCCTGTGTATTTTCAATCAGCATTAGATCTGAATTATCAGATATGTTCTTCAAATTTTGTCACGTCATCATTCATTCCTTTTCCCAGTTCACTTACACACTGTAAACAGCTCAGCTTTAAGTACAAATCCTTGTGGGATAATCCTTCTGTCACAAAACCTCGTGGTTCACTTCTGTCTTTTGAGTTTTGTGTTTTAACTGATTATTCCATGAAATGAAGCTTCTTATGTCATATAGAATAACAGACTCGCCGAAAAATAGGGCTGGAAAGAAAACAAAGATATCCAATTTCTCTCTACTCTCCTCATCATGGTAATGCTACCTTACCTACAAAACTTCTAAAATAGGTTTATCTAACTTTTTCTTAAAAATATGTAATTATTTCAGTTTTAGTCTAATGATTACACATTATCTCCAGATAATTTTATTATATAACTGTCTTTATCACTCAAAGTTTTTCTTATGTATAAAGTGCACTTGGTATAACTGAAGTTTGTTATTTCTTGTACAAAGACAATTTATTAAAGCGCTTTTGAACATTTGTTGCTGAGAACACTTGTAATAAAACATCACTATTTGGCTAGGAGCAACACTAAAGTATAATAGTTCTCTATATAAATTATATATGTTCTATAGACTTGTCATGAAATACTGTTCTATAGCCATGGCTTGTCTTTAGGATGAATTTTACTGATAAAGTGATATAAAACATTATATCCAATGGAAAAAGTTGGAAGCCTAACAGTAGAACTTGATATGGTTTGGGTTATCTGTTTAGCACAGTTCTGTTTCTTCTGTGGGAATGGATTTAACTTCAGAATGCTATCAGACAGTGCAGTTTTGATGTATCCTCCTTTATACGCCTCAAGCAAACCATATCCTGGGCTGCATCAAAAGAATAATGACTGGCAGGCCAAGGGAAGTGATTCTCCCCCTCTACTCTGCTCTCTACTGTGCAGTACTGCATTCTGGGGTTCCCAACACAAGAGGGATGTGCAGCAGTTAGAGAGAGACCAGGGGATGGCCATGAAGATGCTCCAGAGGCTAGAACCCCTCTCCTGTGATGACAGGCTGAGAGAACTGGGCTTATTCAGGCTGGAGAAGAGAAGGCTCTGGACAGACCTTAGAGCAGCTGCCAGTGCCTAAAGGGACCTACAAGAAATTTGGAGAGAGACTTTTTACAAAGACATGGAGGGAGAGATGCATGCAGGGATAGGACAAGGGGCAATGGTTTTAAACTGAAAGAGGGTAGATTTAGATTAGATATTAGGAAGAAGTTCTTCACTATGAGGCTGGTGAGGCACTGGAATAGATTGCCCAGAGAAGTTGTAGATGCTCCATCCCTGGAAGTGTTCAAGGCCAGGGTGGACAGGGCTTTGAGCAACCTGGTCTAGTGAAAGGTGTGCCCGTTCATAGCACTGGAGTTGGAACTAGATGGTCTTTAAAGTCCATTCCAACCCAAACAAGTCTAGGAATCTGTATATCAAAGAAACATCATTCCTTTTCCATTACATGCTATTGATTTTCTCATTTCATGGAAAAAGATCAGTGGATTCTACAGGCAAATTTAGAATTATTTTAGCCTCTTATAACCTTAACAACTAGCAAGGAAATAGAGCAGGTGGAACATGGTGGTGCTAGAATAAGGATGCCAACAATGCAGGTGGATTGAAAGCATGTATATCGTCAAAGCCAAGGAAGCTCAGTTACACCAACAGTGCAGCTTCAAAATATGCAAAGTTTGGCTGTTATATTCAGAATTAGAGTTTATGCTTTCTCCATAATGGGCAACATCTACATTTTTAGAAATCCAGGTTTTCTCTACATCTCTGCTTTGGAGGTATTGACTCTAAACCAGCTGTCACGCTGATTCTCAAATGGGAATGCAATGGCATTGGTTGATAGTATCTTCTAGTTATTTGGATTTTTTTCTGGCAAATTTAAACACTACACTGCATGCTATATGGCAAATGAAATAAGCTCACGCATCTTGCTTCACGATTCACAGGGAGTAGGTGATATGCTAAGAAAGATATACACGTGGCTACACTTAGCTGATCAGCGATCAGCTTGAGTTGTAGTTGTGCAAAGATGAACTGTGGCACACCATGCAATGCAGGATTATTTCACTTCTACTTTGCTGTGTCCTACTGTTTTTAGTCGCTAAAGGCTGAATTCCATTGGTTATGTTATGTAACTGTTCAGTCTGGCCAGTCCATAAAGAGAAGGTAGGTAACGGCTTTTGTGATTTCGTGAGGGTTTTATTTTTCTCAGGAAAAATCATGAGGAAAAACAGTACAGCCTATTTTGAGATCAGGTTCTTGGATTACACTCAAGAAAAGCAGTACAAGGTTTCTATTTTAGTACTATTTGGATTATGGTGCTATAAAAATGAATTAAAAAACAAAAACAAAAACAAAGCTAGCCAAATAATTATATAATGAGAGCAGAAGTCAGAGCTCCAATCTTCTGTTCCTAGCATGCTCTCTAGATTTACTGTAAAATCTTGGTAGTGCCCCTTAGTAAGGTACTTCGTTTTCTAAACCTGTAAAATAATGTAAATAGTTTTATGATAGGTGTTTAGAAGTTAATGACATAAAAGATTCCAAAACTCAGAGTTTTACTGGGAATGACAATGTATGAACTTACAGCCAGTAGAAGACTTTCTAATCCACCCCTATGAGAAATTGTCTGGCATACTGTCCCACTTTTATTAGGCTCTTCACACTCTTACATTAACATGTTTAAAAATTAGTGTATTTATATATTAGTATATAAAATTAGTATATTTCTACTTTTATTGGAATAGAACTGTTAGTATTTCTCTGCTTCTGTAAAGATGATAATACAGTTCATGTAAGACCCATATTTGTTCTGAATTTCTCTAGTCTTATTCCTCAGACTTCTGAGATGTATTCTTTCATTCTTAAGTGAAGCAACATCAGCTTAAATGTGACAGATGTAAGTAAACACTGTTTGCATATGTTTATTAATGTCCCATTAAAGATCTACTGAAAAAATGCTTTATTGATCCATAAGAGTTCCAAATTTCCCACTGGATTAACAAGTAAAAGCTTATAGAGAGAGTAAGTTAAGAAAAGGTGCAAATACTTCCAGATGTGGCTTAGAAAAATAAAAAAAACAAAACCAAACCAAACCAGACCCCCCCCTCCCTCCCCCTCATTTTTTGGTCCCACTAATATATGAAGAGAGAATGCAGTGACTTGACATTCAGGAGAAATGGTGAATTGAATGAGCAACAGCCCAGCATATTCAGTTAGGCTGTCAGGCTGAAAAAAATCATGCTTGCAATCTGCAAGCCTGTCATTTTCTATTTTCTTTGGTGGGGCTACTCAGACATTCTACATCAGCACAATTAACAAATGATAGGGCATTAAGTATTAAAAACATCACAGTAATTTCCCTTCTGACTAGAATTGAATAATACAATAAAACACTTTAAAAACCTCCGTGAATGCTATTAAATATGTATTACCGGCGTCATAACCATTCTACAAACATGGAATAGCAACGGCAATATCATGGTACTGTTCTGCCTCCTTCTCTCAGCCCATTTGCCACTACTCAGAGATTCATCTGTGCTCTGTAAATAGCTGCCTGTCACTGGCCCTCCTCTGGGACCCACCTGGAGAGGAGATGTCAGGAAGCTGTACTTGAACAGGCCTGACACCATGTGCCCACAAAACAGTTTTCTTCACCTTCGTGAACTTGAAGTGGAATCCTGCCATGTGCTCCAACCTAAAGAAGAAACAAATGTGCCCATTTTCCATCTTTTAACCATGGATTGATAAAACTTCTGCATTATAAGAAGGCAGCTTCATTCTACTGGCCTCTGAGATGGCCTCCACTTGGAGCTGCTTAGTTGGTTCTACACTTTCAATGGCTTTTATGCGGCAAATGTAAGGATTCAGAAACCAGAAACAGGGCTTTGTCACAAGACAAGGAACCAGGGCACAGATCATGTTGTGTATTTTCCACAGTTAGCTTTGCATCAGTCCAGCTTCTGTTGGGGGGGCTCATGAGGGGAACGAGAAAAGCATGGCTTGTTTAGTCCAGCAAAATAAAGGCATGTGGGGATGAGATTGCTATCTATAAATACTTTTGGCAGGGGATACACACAGGAGAGCAAGAAAGGCTACTTCAAGACAGTACTTGCAGAGAAAGAAAAGATGGATGTGGACTGGTCACAGGAATTGTAGGTTTGAAATTTTAAAAAGTCTTCCAGCTGTTAGAGAGGTTTCTCTCAGACAGCCTCCTAGCAGCAGCAGCAAAGGCCAAAACTCACAATGATCAGTTTATGGAGGAAAGGATAAAATGGCTGCTTACAACACTAGGGAACTGAGTAGCATAGCTGTCTTGGCTTACAAATGCCAGCCTAGCTGGGCTTCCATAACCGGGGGTGCCGTTAAACCTCTCTCACCTGTGCTGTGGACATACAATAAATTACAGTGAACAACAACCTTTTCATTAAACGTTGGAATTGTAAGAGTAGAAAATGAAAACCTTAGTGATGAAAATGGGCAGTAACAGCTATTTTTTTTTTTTTTTTGTCCAAGAGGGCAAGGGGAACTACTTGACGAGTTTATTATTACCAACTGCAAGGTAGTCCTTATTCCTAATGACTTTAAGACTGAATTAATATATCTGTGTAGCATAACCTTCTACAGCTACATGCTTGCCCTTCTAAGTCTGTGTCCCTTTCTTCTCAGTGTTGGCTTTGACTACTAGGGGATCAAAGATGTGAACACTTTGCAAAATTTAAAGCTCTAACTTTAGCAAATATATTTAATGTTGACACTGAAAGATCAATGGTGTTCTCTCTCCTGTGCTCAGGAAATTTGCCAGATCATGATCAGGCCTTGTTCTGTACCTGCAACTGCAGAGAAAAGCTCTTGTAGTTCTCTGGAAAATATTATTTTGATAAAGGAGCGATTAAGTTTTATGAGAATTTAGGTTGTTATTTACCTGGCAAAAGGGACATTTTGAATCATCTATTACTTTCTGGAGGAAATAATCACTTCAAAATGGCTACACTCCCTCTGCCTTTGCTTGAGAAACAAACTTCTGGTTAGGACCTCACAGCTTAGCTATGCACTAGTAATCATATATAGTACCTTACCTCGTACTGCAGCTGACCCCTCCCTTTGCTTTATCAGCACTGACAGCTTCTCACCAGCTCGCCAATCCCTCCCATCCAGTGTGTCAGGCAGCGGGAGAACTTCCCATTTAGGTAACCAATGCTGGCTGAGCAGGTGATGAACCGAGATGGTCTCTGTATATGGACAGCTTCTGGTTTTACACTTTGCTTCTCTGATTTCATTCTGTTTCACTTATTTGCTGCTGTTATTAGCCAAGGTTGAATAGAGAAGGTGGGGATTATTACTTGCTTGTATGACAGGATATAACCTTGGTATTTTGTTAGTTCTGTGTGGTGCTTCCATAATGCAAATACACTTGCAGAGAGTGTTGTTTCTCACCAAGAAAAACCTGAGACAGACATAATTCCAAAATGCCTAAATATTTCTATCATTTCAAAATACTTAGCATGAAATCTGAACCTGAAAGTAACATCATGTTTGGCTAGAAAACTCTTTATGGGGCTGAAGGGACATAGCTTTGCTGTATTGAAGTAGAAAAGCCTCAGCAACAAGACCGAGCTCGTATTTGGATGCAAACACTGTAACCTGCCCCTGCGATCCTCACTTGAACGATCGTTTTATTCAGCAGCGCCTGGCTACATCCATCCGCCTTGCGAGGATCCTTGTTTCCAACATGGAACGGCAACCGCATAAAGGTTACTCCCGCTTTCCACTCCTCCTTCCCGTTTGCCCCAAACGGCCGTGGGCCTGCAGTGCAGCACCGCCGGACCGGCACGCACGGGACCGGGCCGGGCAGAGGCCCCCGCTCCGATGAGGAGCCGTTTGCTTTGGGCGGGCCGTAGCTCGAGAGCTGCCGGCCCTGGACGCGGCCCAACCGCCGCTTCCGCGCCACTTGTCACCAGTAGCAACCATCGCTCCTAAGGCCACACCAGCCCCCCTCAGCCGAGCAGTGGCTCTTCCCCAAAGCCGCAGCCCCACCGGGGGCGGAGCGAGATTGACCAATCAGAGGGCAACATCCAGCACGGGGGCGGGGCCGAGCCGTGAGTGGCAGCTCGCGAGATAAACAAGGTGCCGCACTATTCAGAGTCCCACAGCATGGTGCGCGTTGCGAGGCCCAGCGGTGGCGGGCGCGCTGTCTCCGTCCCTCCCCAGTGAGAGACCGGCCGCCCTCATCGCTGCCGCCCCTGCCTACAACGGGAAGAGTCAGCAAGTCCCCAAGGGCCGCTGAAACGCTGTCTCCCGGGAGCGCAGTGCGCCGACGCCGCTTAACCGGGGCGTCCCGGGGCATGCCGGGAGGTGTAGTTCTGCTGCCACGGCATCTCGCCCTCATCGCCGGGGCCGGCTCCCGCAGCCGCACTACGACTCCCGGCATCCCGCGCGCCGCGCCGCGAGGAACCCAGTTGAAGCGGGTGGCGGCCGAGCGCGCCCCCTCCCCCCGCCGAAAAGCCCCAAACCAAAACAAAAACAAACCGCCCCCCCTCTGCCCGCCCTCCAACCCCTCGCTCGCCCGCCGAGCCCCGGAAATGGCGGCGCCGGGAGGGGGCTCTGCCAGCCAGGGGTGCTGATCCGGCCGCCGTGTCTCCTGTCCGTCCCTCCCCGCCCATGGGTGAGACATGGACTACGAGTTCAAGTCGAAGCTGGCGGCCGAGCGCGAGCGGGTGGAGGACCTGTTCGAGTACGAAGGCTGCAAAGTGGGCAGAGGCACCTACGGGCACGTCTACAAGGCCCGTCGCAAGGACGGGTAAGGGCCGCGCCGAAAACGGCCGGCGGGACTCCCCCCTTCCTCCCGTAACCCCCCCTCCCCAGCCCTCCTCTCGTCTGTGCCCTGTCCCTGTCCCCTTCCCCTCCGCGGAAAGTTTCTGGCAGCGCGCAGGGGCCGGAACGCGAGCCTGCCCAGGCAGCCCCCGCCCCGCTCTGGGTGCGGGCCGCCGATGCCCTGGCCCCGTGGTGGGGGGAGCGGCCCGCGGCTGTGCGGTGCGTGTGCGACCGCCGGCGGGTGCCCCCCGAGCCCTGGTGGCTCGTGAGAGGGAAGCGGAGCTCGGTCACCCCTGCCCCACGGCTGCCGCGCCGCCCCCAACCTGTGCCCTCCATCCCGCCGGCCGTGACCGAGGCCGAGGTGGCGCGTCGTCTTCTGCACATTTCCCCCGCTCCTAACGCTGGCGTAGCGGGCAAGGGGTGCTGTGGCTGTAGGCTGTGCCGGTGGGATCGCCTTTGGTTTTCATACCAGGCTTCAGGTCATGGCTTTCGTCTTTTGTGTGACTGCGTTTGTGCTTTGGCGTTCTGATCTGAGAACTTGCAGGGCATTGAGAAACAAGCAAGTTTGATGCGAGGAGCATCTGGCTGGCCATCACCTTTCCCTGGGTTCTCCTGTTCAGGCCAATGCACCCAAGTGGTCCAGGAAACCCCTGGGAGTGTGTTGGTCACTGGTCTGGCCCCAGGTACTAGGCTGGATGGAGTCTGGCAGGCTTGGCTTGGTGATCTGTATGGAAGGCTCCAACAGGCAGAGCTGGCAGCACCTGTCAGTACCTACACAAGAGGTGTGTCTCCATCGGAACCTGTTTCACCTGTGAGAGCATGGCACTTGTCCGTATCCCCCAATACCTGGCTACTGGCTAGATCCTGAGGTTGTTTAGCCATTAAGCCCATGTGCGGTGGCTAAGCTACACTTCCTTCTTTTCCTCTGGGAGAAGACAGCTAGCACCATGGGATAGGTGTCCCGTGGATGGCTTTTTCTCTGTACTCTGGTTAAGAGAGCAATGGAGAACTCAGACTGTAATTTGGGATTGCTTGGCCGGTGCAGCTGTTGAAGAGGAGCAGTCCTGAGGCCTGCGTAAGGCTCTCAGGCAGGTGCAGGTTCCAGATACAACCCTTTTCTATCAGAAGGCCATTAAGCACTTTTTCACTGTTGTATGTGGACTGAAAAAACACGGACTGTATTTATAGAAGTGTTCTAAGCATACTTTAAAGTTTGATAAAATATGCTTGCAAATTGGAGGTATTACTTTTCTAACAGAAAGCCAAAGAGCATCTGTTGTAGGCAACTGAAAAAGAAAAGATCAAATACAGAAAAATGGCATTTTTTTTTCAGTAGAATTCTGAAACTGGTTAATGACTGCTGCTGTTTTAGATTAATAGAGAAGTCAGGGATTTTTCTGTAGGAGTAAATTGCATTCATGTGTGTCTTCAAAATTTAAACTCTTGAGTTAAGAGGATGTAGTATCAAGTGATTAATAACTGAAGGGTAGCACACTAAGTCAGGTGGAGGATTAAATGCTGAAAAATGAGCTCTGATTCTGACTAGCTTGCTTTGCAACCTTAAGAATACTAGAGCATAGCTAACTTGAAAAGGGAATGTTAAGTCTTTCATGGGTATCACAGCTGCCACTGAGGTCTTCTAATATTTATGGGTTTAGTAGTCATGTCCTTTTTTTAAAGTTTTCATTTATTTTTATTATCTACATATAAGAGAGGAAGTGGTAATAAAACCACCCAAAATGCTGGCTAAATTTTATTTTTTTGTTTTTGCTGTTCTTTGATACAGTAATTCTAAAGTTACTGCTTTTAAGAACATCATAGAAGAGGAAGAGCTTTGGGTTTACCATTTTATGGAAAAAAAATAAAGATGTCAGTTTCTGACATATCTGTTTCATTTGCATCATTGGCAATGGGAAGCCGTTGCAAGAATTGCATTGATACTGCAGAGCACCATAAAGGACATGTCTTCAGAATCCCTACATTAATAGTAGTGTTATAAATGCAAATGGATAATAAAGCAAAAGTAAATATGGTAAAAAGATAGCTAATCTGTCAGGGCTGGGAATAATCAAAGGGAGACCTTGAGCCATAACAAAACTGTCTGGTAAAGGAAGTGCAAAGTTTCAGTAGGCGGTATAGATTGAAATGTGATATGATATGGCATAAACGCAATTGTACTATATACTCAGTTTTTACTTCATGAAGCTTGGAAACTAGGTTATTCTCTCTTCATTTGGGTTTTCTTTTTATGGCACTGGTGAGTTTGCTCTCAGTTGCTTTAGTGTAACTTAGGTGAAAGCAAGTTGTGAGCAAGTTAGATGAAAATTAGAAAACAACCTGAATCATTGGGGTAAGGTGATTTTCTTATGAAAATATCCAGCTAAAATATCTCTGTGGGGTGGAGGATATTTAGTATAAGTTCTTCACTTTAAGGGGTCTTTAGTGGCAGAGAGAAACTTTTTCCACTGCTGGCAACAGAAACCTAGTAATGCTGCATATTTATAGTGTGCTGATCACTGGGGGATTTTGAGCCTCGTGTAAAGAAATTCTTCCTTGTCCGATCATAGAGACTGTTTTAGTATTTCAAGTTTGCAAAGCACTCCTGTGTAAAAGAAGAAGATCCTGGCTACTTGCTTCTTACAGTCAATTTACAGCATCAAGAGGGCTGAGGGCAGTAAGAGCCCCGTAGCTCTGCAGAAATTCCACTGAGAGCCTGTCACTTTGTGTTTCAAAAACTTGGCATATAAATTTTATGAAATAGTAAAATGTGTTTATACAGAGCTTGGCAAGCTGCTCGGTAAAATGCTTGTAAAAAAAAATAAAAGTGGTTGCATTGCTTAGATCTCCGTGAATGGCTTGGGCATAAAAGCAGTTTTTCAACAAAGTAACAGCTGAGTTTGGCTTTTTCAGCCTGGAGTAGAATATCACTTGAGCATGTTTCTAGTGAGCTGATTGATTTCTATGACAGTTTAAGATTATTATTCTGTTTTTTCATAGGCAGATTTGAACAGTGTTGGTGTGACATTTGCATGCACTGCATGAGCATATTTTTAAAGATGCTGGGTACCTGCAGCTTCCATTTATTTCAGTAGTATTTGTGTGGTCTGATAAGGTCTAGAGGTATTATCTAAATTAGGCACCTGGGTTTACAAAAGTAAGTATCTCTGTAGTCCAGAAAGAAAAAAAAAAAAAAAAAAAACCCAACCAAAAGCCCCACCAAAATTTATTTTGGTGTACACAGAAACTGGACCAGAGGCTTTTAGCAGGGGAAATAGTGATAATCAGCCTCATGATTCCAGTTCAGTAGTCAGTGTGAAGTTTCCAGCTTTTTATGTAGCTGAAAATCTTTTCGAATTTGTGTGTGCGCTGTCTCAAAACATCGTGTTGGTTTTCACTAACTTTTTTTGACGCTTGTTCACATTTGTCCAGTAAAAAAAATAATGCATTTTTTCCAGTCACAGTTAGGAAAATGTTACTTTTGACCTCTCCTCATGAAGTTTCTTGCCACTTCTTTGATCACAGTTTAAGTCCAATGTTGTGCTTAAATGTTTCATTTCCTTTATCTCCTTATCATATGAGAGGCAATTTTTAGGATGAAGTAAGTGTTGGAAATCCTGTTTGTTTAATGCACATGCATGAATTATTTCCATTTACTCTTTGGGAAAGATCAGTCTGTCAGTCCAGGCCACTACAGAGTATTTCTGTTCCTTGACCAGGATGTCAGCTCACCTGCAGGATGTTTGGATGAGTCAGCAAGCTGAAAAGATACTGCTGTTGGCTAGTCAGGAGTGCGCAAGGAATAATGGGATGCACAGTCAAACAGAAAATAGGCCACTCTGTTCCTAGTTCTGTAGCAGCAACAGCAGATGTAATGCTTGCAAAAGCTGAAATCTTCATGTGAATAATACCTTTCCAGTTATTGCTGCTTTTGCTTACCTTTAAACAAACAACTGAGCTGGTTGTTTTCTCTCACACTATACTATGGCTATGTGATATCTTTCTTTGACTCACACCTGGGATTTAGTTTATTAAAATAAAATTGCCTTTTTTTTTTTTTTCATTTCCAAGTAACTATGTAGGTAATACTTTTAATCTGTATATTTCAAAGTGCCTTTTGGAAAGCAGGTATGTGCTTTTTAATGTTGTTATGGGGGGAATGAGCAGACTTACCGAGTGACTAGCTTCCAAGATGATGGAAGAGGCAGGAGTTGTACCCTGGGCAGCTCTCAGACTCCTCTCCTTCTCAGCAGCTGGTGCTGCCCTGACAGCGATTCCTGACATGTTATCTTTTGGCAAGTATGAAAGGTCTGGCACTGCCCTGTGTTGTGTAATGTATCAGCTGAATGAAGTGTGTAGGTTTCTATGCTAGAATAGTAATATACTTCATTAAAAAAAAAAGGCATTATTCGTAACTGCTTGAAAGATACAAATACATTAACAGTGGAGTAATCGGACAAGAGAACTGGTATAAACTAGACTTCACCTTAGCTGCCAAACATGGAATTCCCTTTTGGAAATTGAACAATAGTAATG